AGGGGGTTCAATGGGTTGTTGCTCAATTCGAAGCGCCAATGTTGAGGCTCTATTTCCCGCAGGAATAAATCTGTCGAAAAATCCAGTTGATGCTGGCAGCTCACCTGTACTTCTGTCGCCAAGGGACTAGATGCTATATTTGTCCAATGCGACAAGCGAGTTTAACCAGTAATGGTGAGGTCTCTTTAAAAAAAATTTAAAGTAATTAGCTTTTCCTGAAAATAGCATACAAGATTTAATTAATTTTGAAAAAATATGTCGAAAAGAAATTAAGATTTTCACTGATTTGTAAGTGATTAATGCCGTGATTTAATTGATAGCTCTTTTATTCTCTATGATAGATGCTCGGATAAGTGTAATGGTCATTTGTAAATTCTATTTCTGCCTTTGGTCTCACCGTGGTCATATGCAACCACATAAAGAAAGAATTTTCAACAATTGTTGAAAGTAGATATGAGCGTAATAAACTAAGCTGCATAAATTTGACCTTAGGCTAAAAGTAAAATAAACAATGAAGGGATCCATACCTATCAGTATCTATATTTTCGATTAGCATTTGCTCTATTTTAGTGAGGATTTTCGCTTTATTTACCTTCTCAATAATTATTCTCGCTTTGGGCCACTTAGATTGCAGTTATATTATAATGGTTTAGGATAGCACAAAAAAGTTAAAAATAGAATAGACCTATCATAAACTTATATTGACTTATTTCAAGGCTTAACATAACTTAGACTTAATTTTTCTAATTATATTTTCCAATCGCCTAAAGAAATGAAGTTAAATAAGATCTCGGGTATGGATGAGTGATATGGCTGTCCCGATATGTCAGCGTCAGAAATTAGAAGCTTGATTTCAGCAAAGCTGCCACCAAAAAAGCGACCCATCTATACTTCTATCACCAAATAATTTCCTGTTAAAAAATTCGAAGTGTATTAGCAACCAGCGGAATTAATCTAACCAGAGATGGTGAGCGCTAATAACTAACGAAATTCGCATTTATTTGCGATGCATTAATTTCATACTCTATTTTCAATATTTTTCCGATCTTGCAAATGAACAATTTTATTTAGTATTTCATGAAATAATAAGTCATTTAAAATTGTTTTGGACGATTTGGCACTGGCGTGGAGAATCGTGGAATCAGTAATGTTGCAAGAATAAGATAAATTATTTTAAATGAATTAACAAGCAATATACGAAAAATTAATTCATATTATTTGATGAACCAACTATTTCATCTAAATCATATATATAAACAATGTGGTTTATATGTTTACCGTATTCAGGCAAATGAACGAGCATGTGGAAAATATTTTTGATGATGGAAATCGCAAGATTTATTGAAATCGTCATATTATTAAAAATATCTCAAGGATACAAATACGAAAAACAAAATCTTATCACAGTTTGTACTGCAAATCAGGAGCGAAAAGTTTTTTTAAGGTAGACTTGAAAATTAATGAGGTAAAGAAATCAGGTTGTATCACAGAATATAGAATATAATATAAATGTTGTAAAAATCACATAGGAATTCCAATCGTTTTGTTCATTAACAACATCCGCTGTGTCGATAATATAGATTTCATAAGATTCCCTCAAAATAATTTCTCAATTATCAATCATTAACGATATTTACTATCCTTTTTGCACACGTATATGAATCTCATACTGATCATTTGCTTGATATAAATCCCAAGCTTCAGTGAAATCGTCATATTAATGAAAATGTCTCAATGGATGCTTATAGGAAAAACAAAATCTTATTTATCTGCAAAAAGAATAATGAATATCGCTAGTGAATGATAATATAAAACGAAAAGGCCTTAATCTACTGAAGATTTCATATGCGAATAAAGCGAATATTTTCAAACAAGGTAGAACAAAACAATTTTCACCCAGAAAAGTATATGCAAAAATTTACAAGCAAGTGCATCGAATCACTTGCAATAATTGAAAATGAGGAAATTTATGTCTCAAACAAATAAAAATACAAAGCATATTAATTTGAAAGGTTGCTTATCACATTTTTATTGTTATCAAGATTCTACACAAAAGCTTCGAAAAACGAAAACTTTCTCTTTCTGCAAACAATTACGAAAAAATTGGCTGAAACATATCCTTCAATCCATCAAAGCATTTGAAAAAAATAACCAAATTTTATCCCAGAAATTCATTGATGAGATTCATAAATAACAATCATTTTATTATTTTATTAAACGATCATTATTTATTCGTATTATAATTATTGAAGAAGACAACTTAATTGTAGATTTTATTTCGATCAACGCTTCTTTCTTAAATTTATTTATTTGCCACTTAATCTAGATAACCACATATTTTATGTAGTTTCTAATATTTACTTCCTTATTTTATTTTTTTCCAATTTCGCTAATAATGCTTTATCTTTTTCCTAAAATAATACTAATAATAGCGAATTGCATTCATGCCCTGCTTAGTTGTTTTCTAAATAAACAAAAAATAAAGATAGCATTCAAGTATTGATAACTAACTCTGATTACAATTGCATAGTCAGTCGATGCGATTTCTCAAATATAATAACTCAATTTCTCAAATATAACAATTGATTACGACAAAACACTGATTCGGCTTTAATAGATTCAGTGGAGTCAGCCAAATCAAAACTGCTGAATGTTCTTACATGAAGAAAACATAAGCTCTGCTAATGCAAACTCATTCGTAGATTTGGTAGAATTCTTGATAACAGAAAATAATTGTATAACAGAAAAAGTAAAAGGAATCGACAGAGGATTGTGAATTGAGCAAATGTAAATGAACCGATAGGCTGACTATTTGGAGAAAAATAAATGTGCTCGTTCGCTAACTATGTTTTAAGTTAATCTCTACAAATGAGGCAGAAAAATGATATTGGAACATAGTTTACAATTCAACGCAAAGAGACGATAAGCTTATTGAAATATGTTTAGGCAAACCTTGAATCATTAAACTAACCAAAAAGTCAGAATATAAAGCAAGCATCATTACATTTTCAATTTGGAATTCTACCATCCAGTCGCAATCAATAGTTTAATTTAATTGTAACATAACAGTTGAATTGTTAAAATTTTTATGGCCAACATTTAAGCGCAATATATACCGTATAAGCTTACCGTATAAGCTTTCAAAATAAAATAACCATTTCGATTCTTTAACTTCATTAAATTTACCGTTGAAAAATTACCCCCTTCTTAATATGGTAAGATGGCTTCTCTATTCATTGCTGAAAACTATGGTATCCAGTTTTAAAAATAATTTAGATAAAACTATCTATAGTTAACAAACGCTCAGTCCATTTTCACTGATATAATTGTCTTCATTTTTTTAAAAATCTTTCCATTTCTTTTAATCCATTAATATATTAACACGAGCGCATGACTATTGCTCTTGATTTTCTTCTAAAATAAAAATAAAATTTTAATATTTTATCAGTATTGGACACACATCGATTGATGCTGGTGATTCTATGTATCTATCGTCAAGGGAGTCTTTAGCAAAATTTGCTTGGTCCGATAAGCTTGCGGGTCAACCCAACCCAACCATATAAGAGAAAAAAAAGGGAATAAAAAGTAGTGAATGCTAGTCATTATTGACTCATCTGATTTATTAGTTCTTCTCTAAAATCATTACTGCTTGTGCACAATACCTGATGGCAATAAATGAGATATCTTAATTACCATTCAGAAGTTTTTGGTGAAACGATGAGTTTAGTACTTTGTTGCCTTGTTACTGGTAGTACCTTTTAATTCAAATAAATGGCTTCATATTTTCTGCATAAAGTTTATAGCCTTGTTTCAATCTAGTTATTTTGAAAAAACAAAATAGCTCACAACAAAATTATGTTTTCTGTCCACATAGTATAGAGGAAAATTTGTAGTTTTCTAGAAGTAAATGAAATAACTTCCAAATATTTATGATTTATAGGTCCGCGGTGTGATGAATATAAGCATACGAAGCATACGCCTAACGCGTTTATTTTTTTATGATTATATTCATTAATTGACGAAGCGATAATTCACTGATGCAATTATGGCAATTATGGCAATCTAGATTTACGTTTATTTTGGAAACAAAGCCATGCGATAGCAATAGCCCATTAAGCACAAGGTTCTTTTCCCGAACTTTTTTTGCCTCGGAACACTTCACGAATTACAACACGATTGCGGATCATTTGAATTGAATTTGCAGTTTATTTGGGTTCGAAAACAAGTAATTGCTGCTTCGAATGCATGAATTCACAGATAAAAATAGAAATGATATAGAAACGATAACATTTAGAAAAAAATGGAATTTTAATTAGACTGTTTCTCGGCCTTTTTAAGTAAAATTCCTTTGTTAAATCTCATCCCCCGTGTTGCAACAAAATTAATCATTATATTCTTATATTCTTACATACATTTGCACAATAAGAAAATCTTGTTTCGCATTAGTAGTGGTAAATGAGTCTATGGTATATTGGGATATATTGAGTCTATTGAGATATTCTTCGCTTAAGTTAGCACAAAAAATATTTAGTAGAGATCTCTCATATTTTTGTCTCAAGCCACAGCAACTAATTAAATCAGTAAAACAGCTGGCTTATCTGCCATTCTAAATGGATTTCGAACACAAGAATTTTTCGCAATGGTTTTTGGAAAATACCGTATTCGCATTTGAAAGAGGAGATTCAAATTCACATTTTTTAATGAATTGCACAAGGGATTTGTCGGTTTACACAAATATGCCATGAAATCCCTTGGCGATAGGGTGACTCACCAACATCACTCGAAATTACTTGTCTTTTATTTAAATTTAAAGCAAGCCATTATTTTTAAAAATTTAAAAATTTAAGTAACCAAAAATTTATGAAATATATATAAAATTAGTTATAAATTTTTGCAGAATTTTTTTATGCTTTCTAATACAAGTGTTCAGTGCAGAACAGATTGGGAAATGTTACCATATACCATTGGTAAGTTTTTGCAAAAGATAAAGATCAAATTACTCATAAATCTGATCTATGGAAAAAAGGAAAACGAGGTAAATTAGTTGAAAACTGAATAACGATTGAAGAGATTGATATAGTCTGAGGTGGCAACTAAATATAGCAAAAATACATCATAGGAAGGGGTTAAAAAAATAGTTTGAAGCAGGAAAAAATCATAATTACAAATAATCAAAGCACCTTCCCAGGATTCATGATACCATTCGGATCTAAAGCTTGTTTTATGACACTCATAGTTTTCAGTCCAATTAAACCAATTTCTTTCTTCAAATACTCTTTTTTACCAATGCCTATTCCGTGCTCGCCAGTGCATGTTCCTCCTATTGACAATGCTCGCCTAAAAAATTTTAAATCGCAGAATTAAATGCAAAAATAGATAATCTCGATCATTCACACCTGAAAATAAAGATAGAACGCAGGTATCGCGAAACTGAAACTGATGGGACTAACTCTTCAAATAACCTTAATAAACCAATATTATATTTTATTATTTTTATTATTTTTTATCAAAAAAGGAGCGTTTTTTCAAGTACTGAGATTTTGATGTTTTTAAAGCCAAATTCGGAAAAAAATTTGGTTTTTATAAACAAAAAAACTTTACATCCAAACCTGATACCTATAATGTTAATATTTGACTATTTTTGAAAAAATATCTTTACATTAACAATGAAGAAGATAAAGGTCACATACATAATCAGCCGATCCGATAATTCCCATACTTTTTTCATTTCACTTCGATCGTTTTCATTAACAGAAAAGATACAATGGAAATTACCATCGCCAACATGTCCGACTATGGCACCTACAGATTAAACAAAGTGTTGTGTAAAAACATGAAAAAGAAATATTTAAATGAAAACTGTTGAAACAGTTCAATAAAATAAATAGAGCAGAAATTAAAAACTGAAGAAACTTTCCCATTTTTTTAAAGAATAAAATCTTTGAAAATATATATACATACCAACTAATCCGGAAGTATCAATATCCTTTTTTGTCTCTGTAATTATTTCGGCAAGTCTAGAAATCGATACACAAACGTCAGTTGAAAATCCCTGGAAAAATCAACTTACCTTTGTAAAGATTTCAGAATGAAAGAATATTTAGAAAATAGAGAATAGAAATAGATAATAAAAGACAAAAAAAGATTAAGAATGTCAGAACAAAAAAATAAAATGAATTAAATGTCCATTCTCTATTTTGTACAATTTGAGCGAATTTAATTTCAGAAAAAAACGATTTTTTTTTATATATTTCAATTTAATTTAAAGTAATTTAAGAGGCTGAATATCAATTAAAAATCCCTAAAGAAATTTATAAGTCGCTAATGCTGAATGTTACACTATTGAAATATCTAAACTGAATGAAATGAAAAAAATTACATTGGTAGGCGAGAAGTTTATCTATATTTAAGTTATAAAAAAGTAAAGATATTATTTTGAATTTTAAGTTTCGATATGATAATGGACCAACCCTACATCCCTTTTTTTCTGATACAATAGCGTAATACGCATTATGTCTAGCAGTCCACAAACGAGCATTTTCTTTGGCACTGTTACTCCAAAGAAATCCTTTACCTTTGAAATTAGAGATTATTTCACCTAAAAAATTACAAGTCAAACATACAAAAGTCAAAGTTGGCACAATTTCAAATTGAGAAACAGAATAATTGAATATAAGATTAACGCCATTCTGATCCTAAATCCTAAAAATCTGATAAGCTGGTAAACTGATAATCAGTAAAGTTAACCTAAGCAGAGAAGATGGGTGCTGCCAACTAATTTAATAAATATTCACTTAATTTCAAATCAGAAAGTTTAGGATAATATTAATCGGCGAAACAATCTCGAAATTTTCAGATTTTTTTCTCGAATAATTTAACTAGCAGTTGAAATTCAGTTTCACTGCTCGAATTTTAAAAAAATGTTTTGCTGGACAGAATGTCAACTCATACCAAATGACTAACCAACTAATTTTGTTTGCTGCTTCACATCATCATCAGTATGACCGTGGAATTCCAAAAAAAGAGTCGGCTTTTCTGTCAATTCCAATTTGCTAAATCGGTTACATGCTTTGATGGCTTTTTCATCAAGGAATTCTAAAACGAATAATAACTTTTATTCTTCTTTTTCTTCTAACGGTTCTCACCAATACTGGTTAGGCTGGCTCCAACGACTACAAGGGTAAGACGTTTCCAAGCTGCGCGGTCTGATGTCATCATCGGCAGTAAGAGAAGCCATTCCTTTTTCCATCGTCTAAGTCCATATATTACTGGTCCACCTATACGTTCAAAATCTTGTCTGATCGTATCAGCCCAGGACTTGATTGACCCACCTCGATTTTGACGCCACCCATCATAGGGTTTAGCAAGTAATGAAATATGCGTCAACTTCTATGGTGGACGACGAAGAAAGTGTACTAACCAGCGACGCTGTGTGATGAAATTATTTATGCAAGTGGTATTTGAATGAAGATGGATGCGATTATGTGCGATTTTATCCGCTCGACGGATCCCGAGACAAGAATGGTCAAAAGCAGACAACGTCTTAATATCTTCCCACTCTCATCGGCCATGTCTTAGAGCCCTATAGCAAAATCGAACGAATCACGGCTATATAGACGCAGACTTTCGTTTTTATGATGATTTCACAACTCCAGAAAGCTTTCGTCAACCGGAAGGACGAATTTCTAGCTGCCATGATCCGAGTTGTAATATCGTCTCTTGCCTGGCCATTTGGTATTAGAGTGGATCCAAGTATTTGAAATCGGGTAATTCCTCAACTTGCAATGAATTTATAAAAAGAGGCATTTTATCAGCTTTTTGCATATAAGACGAAAGTACTTTCGTTTTGTTTATATTGATCCTGAATCCGATTCTCGCTGCAATTGTTGACATGTTATTTACCATTATTTGCATTTCATCATAACTGCCAGCAAAAAGGACTACATCATCAGCGTATTCAAGATCTGTGATACGATGCTTTGGACTGATTTGGACAGCTCTTGAGTGCCGACAAGCGGTGTACATTATCCAGTCTATCGCATAGTTAAATATTATAGGGGAAAGGACACAACCTTGGCGGACAGCAGTTTTTATTTCGAAGGATCCTGGCAGTTCTCCATATGCACAGACCTGCGCTAACGTACGCTCATAAAACGCGTTTATGAGTCGAATGATCTTCTCTGGAACACCGTCGAGTTCCATCACCCTTCAAAGTGCGGCTATATCAAATGAATCGAAGGCAGCCGCAAAGTCGATCAAACACGTGACGGTGTGTCACAAATATGTGAAGGGATGTTCCAAAACCCTTCTTAACCTGAATATCTGATCAGCACAACCAGGCCCGGTCTAAATCTAGCTTGATTAGGGGCATTCTTAAAAATTGAGAGCAGAATTAATATTTCTTTTTCCCATACCAGACAGTACATTTGTTGAAGGTGTGTTATGAAAGGACAGCATTTGAAGAGTTCAGCCCGAAGACCATCTTCTCCCGGAGTCTTATTGGCCTTAAGCTTATGGATAACGAAAATTATTTCTTCTTCTGTTGGAGGCTCGCAATTGCAAACGTATGCTTCGGCAAACGTATCAGCTATATAAGGAGCAACAGATGACGCATCATGGTTAAATTTGGCCTCAAAGAATTCCTTCCATCTTATGAGGCTATCCTTAATACTTTTAATAGGCACACCACAGCTATCTTTTACCATTTAACTGATCGCTCCCCGAGTTATGGTTACTTTATAAAGAAGGCGGAATAGTTTCCTATTATCGCCTAATCGAGCCGCCGTCTCCATTCTCAAGGCCATGTCATTCCAATAGTGATTTCTCTCCCGCCTTGACGCTTTCGTTGCAAATCTTCGAAGCACCCAGTAGTCAGGATCACCTGACATTCGTGCTTTGGTAGCTTTTTCAGACAGTTGGACAGTTGCTTCCGATATCTAACAAGCACACTTCCTACTAGTAGGCCCTAGCGTAGAAGTGGCTGACTTTCGGATATTCCTTTAGTTTGGACCAGCATTCATTTGCCGTTCCAGAAAAGTCATATTTGTATCATTGAGATGCTTCAATAATTCGATTTGAAATGCTCTTACTGTCCCTAAATTTTTTATTTTTAGATAGTTGAAAGATGTTGGATGATGTTGTTTTTTGCGAATTGTCAATTTTACGCGAACCTTGGTTCGGACTATGATATTGTCAGATCCAAGAAGATTTGTCGTTTCAGCGCCGCGATAGGAACGACTAAGATATAATTAACCTGGTGTTTGTTATCCGGAGATCTATTCCGCGGAACAGATGTCTTCCACGATGCCGGAAGCAAGTATAATAATAATAAAAATTTAATAAAAATTAATAATAAAAATTTCATGCTCTCCGGCACACAGAAGGCGTTCTCCATTGGCGCATCGATATGTTTCTGATGCCATG